ATCTTCAATTTTTTTCATTTTAGACTTAAAATTTTCAATAATATATTTATAAGAGTCGAAATCAAGTTGTTCTTGTTTCTCCTTTGCTAGAGAAGATGAAAGTTTTTTATCGTTCATCATAATATTACCATAATAAAGAGGTCTAAAGTCTGTAGATGTATCTGAAGAAACATGTCTTTGGTCTATCTTTTCTACAAGCAAATCTACTTTATCTTCTATATTATTCATTTTTATTAGAAGTTTATGAAAGAAAGAAGAACTTAAATCTATTAAACCATTTACAGTTCTACTCATGCTAATATTATTATATTCATACTTAGGATCTATATGTAAATCATGATTATGAGACTTATCTTTGTAAATACATGAATTTTCTTCAAAAATTTTTATGTTTTTGGTGCTTAAAATCGTTGTATTGTTTTGAAAACGCTAGCAACAAAGACAATCCAAGCCACAAACGCAAGCAAATAATTCATATATGCACGTATGAACTTTGAAACAAAAAACTTAAGAAGAAGATGCAAGTAAAAGGAAAAAAAATCTTATAAAATGAGTCACAAGTAGATTTTTATTACTAAATCTGTAATACAAATTTAACAAACCTTTGTTCAAGCTTGATGATATTCTTTTCCCTAACATCGATTCAACAAGTAACATCATCACCCACCACAGTTATTGACCTTTCCTTGTTACATATTTATACGCACAGATGTCGACTTGCGATTTTTTTTTTGGTCGGGTTCATATATAGATAAGGTGGGGAAATAAATATCTAATCTCTGTCAGTACCCTCATGTTGTCTGATTTCGATGGTGTGGTTAAAAGTTCAAAAAAATCTCTTGTTGATGTGAAGAGAAGCCTTAAACGTGAAGGTTTGTGTTTATGTTTACCGGTAAACAACAAAGGGGTTAAATCCTCGATTTGATGTTTAGAGGAAAGAATTATGACAAAAAAAAAAAAGTTTTATTGCATAGCTCAACCGTTTCTTGGTTAGATGGGAATAAAGGAACCAATCTTTCTTTTCTTTCTTTTTTTTTTTAAATAAAAAAGAACTAATTTTTGTTAACTGTATTTTGATTGAAGTTCTAAATAGTATCAATGTCGAGAACTTGGTATCATATAGCGTCAGCTACTCAAATTTCTTTCTACAAATTTTAGGCTACTGCTATTGAGGGTTCCTCCCAAAATTGCCATCATCACATCATAACAATAGATGTTAATGATTCATTTGATTTAAAAGATAATTTTGATCTAAATAAATAGTTAAAAAAATTTTATTGTAATTTTATTTTAGGTACAGATAATTCTCATATCAATTTGTTTTTAGAGCTTTTTTTTTAGCATTTCCTTTTTAAATGATGTTTAAAATAAGAATATTTTTTATTTCAGTATAAAATATGCATAATTATATATGATTTTGTTTAAATTTATTTGTTTTCAAACAAGTGATAAATGATGACATCACTATTTACATCAACACCAATTCTAATATCATGTCAAGTGTTAATTTTATATCTATTTTATATCAAAATTGTACCTATTTTATTAAATTATTTTGATAAATTATTTTGATAAAAGAGATTCTATCAATTTTATTAATGTTACTTCATTAAAATTATTTTACTAATTTATTTGTATTACTTTTATGCCTTTATCATATATTATTTTTGTGGGTTTTTAATTGCAAATACTCCGAGAATAACAATATTAATTAAGATTTGTTTTCTAAGTTCGTTACTAGGTTGGGCTAGACGATGATCTAGTTTCTAACATTAGCAACTCAGACAAGCTTAAAGCCTAACCTACAACAAATGGCACAGTAGGGCCTAGCCCACTGAGGCAAGGCTGTTGGAAGTATGAATTGAAAAAACAAAAATCGAGAAATCTCAAAATTGATTTAAAATTATAATATTTAGTTTGATTTGAATTGATTTTTTTATTTTATTCAGATTATATAAATATTAAATATATATATTAAGTTTGAATTAAATTTTGGATCTAAAAATAAAAATTTTAAAAAAATTTAATTATATATACTTTAATTTTTATATATATTTTAAATTTTTATAAAATAAAAATAATAATTTTATATCAAAATTTATTTAAATATATTAAAATTTTATATTAAAATAATATAAAAAATTAAAACATTTAAAATTTTAAAATTAATAAATCAAATATGATTGAATTGATAAAATTTGATTGATTCAAATGAAATAAAAATTTAATTTAAATTTAAATTAAAATTTAAAATTTTATAATATTAGATAATATCAAAAACATCAATCGAATTCAATTCAAATTGACCCGTTATGACCCCGTGCCGGACTGCTTCTTAAGGATTCCAAGGATCAGAATTCGGAAGGTTCATTCTGTTGGGTGCCTCAGAAATCGGAATGAAATTCTTCGAAATAATCCCTGTTTCCCAAGTACAACCACTTCTAAGTTCTAACGTGGATCCTCAGCTAAGAAGCTCCATGTACGATCACTGTTAATGACTCTGTGGAATGATGACTTTTGAATTTTATGCTCGTCTAATCCGTGTCTGGTCCCTTGGGGACTTGGGGTGAGGATCAAACAAAGAATTACATATGAAAAAAACTGGTATGCTTTGATGGTATAAATTCAAATCCTCCACTCAAGAAAAAGGTATCAAGTTTTCAGCTAAAGTTCTCTGGAACCCATAAGTAAAAGTGTTGCAGAGGGACCATCAAATGATGTGACATCATCCAGGGTAACTGGGGCCAAGTCCCAAACATGGGAGGCCGCAGGCAATAATTGTTTTTATGACGGTTAATGAGAATTCATCGTCTCTTTTGAAATGTTGATGCAATTGAATGTATGGGTACTAGCAATGTTTCTTCAGAATTAAGGCAGCTCTACCATCTTGTTTGTTTTTCTTTCCACATTTTACAATTCTGATGAGATCAGAGGTCCTTCTTTGATGGAATTAATCACCTGATCTTGCTCATGGGATGTCAAACCGCGGACAAATAGCACTCAACTTACCAGGTATTAGCAAATTAATTTCAGAAAGCTGAAAATATGGTTCTAATGGTGCTAGATTGTAAATGCTAGCAACTAGAGTAATACATAAATTTCTATAGAAAATGAAAATGTTTGCCACTCCCAACTCCTAAATCAAAAGTAACGTTTGATGACACATTGGCATCAAATACTGTGCACAGCGATGTGGTGGAGAAAGGATTAAATAAGCAGACTGAATTCCCGTGGTGGACAAATGCCTGTTTCAATCAGGATCAGGAAAAACAAATGATTTTCCTATATATAAAACTGGAACTGGAAGTTGAGGGAGAAGCTAGCCGGGTTCCATCCTTGATATCTTACATTTCATTCATTTCTTTGACTTTTGAAACTTGCTTCTGTTTCAGATTCTACGTATATATAGATGAAACTAGCAAATTTTCTTTAATAGATTCATTAGCTAAAACAACATTTGAATTGCTTAATAAATGAACGTTGTGTTAGGGATTGATTCGGTGGAATTGGACCTAGAAATAGTGATCGGGTACGTTGATCGCAACAAGGTGCTGAAACAAGTGAGGAGGTCTGGAAAAAGGGCTGAATTCGGACCCTACCGACCCTGATCCTCCATTGTTCTTCACCTCCACCAACGAATACTTTCAAGACACAACAACGAGTTCAAAGAGAGTTACAACTATTTTACAGGCATGGCTACAACCTTGGACAGAGTCTTGGGAACATTCCAGTAGCTCATCGAGGGGATGACAAGGTCAGCAACATGTTCAACGATGACAATCAATGTCAATGCCTGCTGTCTCATGTAAAAAAATGAATGAAGGTTTAGTACCATCCATTTCCATCGTCATGTAATATTAATTATTCACAATAACTCTCCTAGTGTGAAAAGAATTTCGTCAATGTGTTTTCTTTGAGGATGATCATAGGGGATTGATTTTCCGTGTAGTTTCCTAAAAAAAATAATGAAGAAATTTGAAACAGGGTCGGCTTACTTCATTCAGAAGTTAATCGAATTGTTTACAACCGATTGATTGGTTTGGTGTTTCGGAAAAAGAAAGATCAAATGAGGGAACTTCTTGCAAGTTATATTGTAAACAGCGTGTTCGACGTGCAGTTGGTCCATTTGTAATAAAAGATAAGAATTATTTTATGATAGTAATTAATTAATAAATTTTGTTAATGTGTTTTCTATTTTTTAAAGATTATTTAATATATTATTTATAATAATAATTTTATATTAAATTAATAATAATAATAATCATGTTATTCATGATTTTTAATGTTTTTAAATGTAAATATTATTTTATATAATAATTTTAAAAAATTCTAAAAAGACTTGTTAATAAAATTTTTAATTAATTAATTATTTTTAAGGAATTAATTAATTTGATTGTTAATAATTGATTTGCGTCGAAGTGGATCCTTCTTGCTCTCTCCCTTATTCTTTGTTCTAACTACCTATCAATTCCCGGCAAAACCAACCATTTCCTGGCAAATGAAATGTGCCCCATTTGTGTTAATTACATTTCAATCGCACATCTCCTCCTAATTTATATAAAATCACAATATACTTGCAGTTTTAACAAATTAATTACCTGTCAATTTTGATTCAAAAATTACAGTTCAATTTCTTTTTTTTTTGTTTTTTATTCAATTTTTTCTGTTGAAATATCCATGATTATTCAAATATGGACTAAAATACTATTAACTGCATGTGTTATTAATAGAAAGGACCACATGTATGACCAAACAAAAATTGGTACTACATTGTTGAGAAGGAAATGTTAATAATGTTGTTTTTAGAAATAAACAAATAAAAGGGAGAAAAATATAAAATGTAAAACTGTGACACATTGATTATCAGAAATTAGATTCTCAACTTCAATTTGTATATAGAAAGGGAATTGATTAGATTAATAGGGTGAAAAATTATTGCTAATGATAGTTTAATATAAAATGTAAAACTTACAAATAGATTTTTTAATGTAAAGAAAAAAAATTAGAGTGTAAAATGAAAAATTATGTGAAAGTTGAAGGCTAAAAGTCAAAACAGAAAAAGATTAAGGGTAGTTTGTGACTTATCAACGAAGCTGTCATAAAGGGAAGTCTCCGTTCTAATAAAATCAAATAGAAGTGGAAAAGCCTGCCTGGGTGCATCAATTCCTGTACTGCAAAAGCAAACACATAAAAATTAAAAAAAAAAAAAAAAACTCAAATTCTTTCAGCTTCAAACTTTTTTATTTTCAGGTAAGAAATATGACATAATCCCAGTTATGTTATTCAATCTGCATTCTTCAATTATTCTTTTATCTCTATGAAGTCAAAGTCTTTTTTTCCTCATCATCAGTTCATCACTAATATTTTCTTTCCTTTTTTTTTTGTTTCAATGAAAAATTATGTTAAAATGATGATGATCATGTGGAGTCATCCATTTTTTTTTTTTACTAATTTGTTGTACTGTTTTTGCCAATGAATGCAAATAATTTGACAGGCTTTTTTTTGGTGGGTGGTTTGGTTTAGAGAATGACGAGTGAGAGTAATAAGGCCATTAATGTCTTTTCAACCCCAACGTTCTCGTCTTGTTTGTCACCTTTTGCCTGTCCGTTCACTATCAGCAACCCTCTCAATCGCCATGGATCCTTAAACCCTGTACTTGTTTCTTCTTCTTCTTCTTCTTCTTCTTCATGTTCTTTCTGTCTTGATCATCCATTTCCCTACCAGAGTATGGGTGGTCAAGGTAATCATGGCTACTATGCCAATCACTCTGATGCTACCTCTGATACTACCTCTGATACTACTTTCCCCTGTGTTGATAACCTTGACTTTGAACACAATTCTTGTTTTGCATACTACCCGTTGGAGGAACCTCCAGTTCATACCCATTTCACTCTGCCCCCTCTTCAATCTTCTCAAACTGGTAGTTCTTCAAGCTTGGGCAGTGTGAGCCAGAGTGGGTTAAAAGTCACTGCTGTGGATCAACAAGGGCGAGAAATCCCCCACAACAAGGATCAGATTAGAAGTGCTGGTTCCTTGTCTTGCAATAACCTGCTTGAACAAGGTAAATTTGCTATGACAGATTCATTATCTTACAATATATAGCCTACCTTATCATTGTTACCGTTATGAAACTTTCGATGATGTTTGTTATAGACTGTTACGCCTCTGATGGCCCCATTTCGTATATTGTGAATATAAAATTAAAATTCTACATGATGTAGAGAAGGAAATCCATTTGCTGTCAAATATCAAGAACATGATTTCTGTAATCTGTCAAGTACTAAGAAGGGTATTGAGAATCATGGTTTCTATCTTTTATTATGTGCTTCATCATGCTATCCAGTCTCTACCATTATTATTATTTTTTTTGGCTTAACTATAAGTTAATATGGACTTTAGGCACCAATAGGGATGATTCAATGATGAAAACAAAGCTGAATCATTTTGAGACATAAATTAATGTAGAGGGGACACCAGGGAGGACATGTAGATATAATAGTTCAGTGAAGAATGAGAAGCATTCTTGTATTTTGGTCATTTATTTAGGATTTTTTTTTTTTGTTAGACACTGATCACAAAATACATGAATAAAGGACCATGATAGGAAAACATGAGCTGTTGCCTTTGATAGATCATGTTGTGTAATACGAGAGACAAACTATGGGAATTTCATTCCTTTCCTTAGGCATTAACAGTGAGTTTGTGACAATCTAATACTGAAAATTTAGGAACTTTTAGTGTTGTTCTAAAGGAATCAGTAGTTTATAGGTTTTGAATCTTAGGATTTTATTCTTCTTGGATTGACTAGAGATTAGTTGAAGGTACACAGATGAATGAAGTAAGAAACATATTTCAAACAATTTGTACTTTTTCTGATGACTGTGCAGTAAGGGTTGAAACTGTTAATGATTTTGTTCAGGTACTATTGTTGAAGGATCAAAACTTCTTAGTGAAACATCTTCTGTTTTGCATGGAAAAGGCAGTGTGGCCGTAGGAAAAGATAATCAAATTAAACCTGAAGACAAGGAGACAATACATACTGAAAGTGGTATTTTTGAAATGGCTAATACTAAGGTAAATTTCTTGAACGAATGTATGACACAGCGATTTTCAGTATCATCGGATTTGTCCTTTCCTCCCAGACCTCAAGATACTCAAAGTCAACTGTCATTCTCAGCCCCATTAATGACTTGGATTCATTCTGGTTCAAATATTATTACCAATGAGAGATGTTTTCCACATCTTGATTCTTGTGGAGCTGAAACTCTGGTTTCATGTGCACCGGAGCATTTTTCTTATTCAGCTCAAATTTTCAATTCATCAAGTGCTAGTTCCAATCCTGCAATTGTTAGTCCTGTTCCATTAGAGAATGTAGCTTCTGGCGACACTTCCGCAGTCAGCAACAGGGATTATTATTTTGGCTTTCTTTTGCCTAGCATGATCAATGCCGATATGGTGCAGAATCCTGTAGACAATGTGGCTTGCAATGACCAAGTCATAACAGAAAAAGGTGAAAAAAGAAAGATTCTTGAACCTGGCAACAATGGGACTAAAAATCCCTCTATTGTGGAAAAATCCAAGCTTCAAATTGCTTGTTTCAATGTTCCTGAAGACTTAACTCTGGAGCAGCATGGTGCTAAAGCAGGTATAACTGATGATAAATCTTCCACCAACCATGATGATTCTGATATAGATTCACCTTGCTGGAAAGGAGCCCAGGCTTATAAATCTCCTCTCAGAGATTCAGTGCCTGTAGATTCAGATGATTCTGAGGGTCAATCTCCAGCAAGAGTTCCAGTGCCTCTGAAATCTGAACATTCTAAGAATGAAAAAGTAGCATGTAACAGTTTAAATCCTCTGGCGCCCAAGTTTATTCCTGGAAATTCTAAACATAAGGTGGATTACCATCAGAAGGAATGTCATGCAGATAGTTCCTCATCTTTTCACAAGATTGCTGCTTTATCTGTTACTTCTTCATCAGGGGAACACAAATTAATAGATTCTGTTAAAGCAGGTACATGCCCTTCAGAAAGGATCAAAGATGTAGGAATCAAGTGTTCTAATCATGCCTGTGATTCAAGAAAGGAATATGGTGTTCCCTACACGTCATTTAGAAGTTCAGCAGTAAATTCTTCTTGCGGTTTTCAGCCATATCTCAGGGAAGAGTATGTTACATCTGAAAATCAGCTTATGAGAGGCACAAGTGTTACTGATTCCAAGGAGGGTAATTTGGATGCAATACACAAAGGGTTGGATAGTGTTGAGGACATAGCACATAATGGGCCAAATGCTAGCATCTCTTTCCTTACATCAGAAACTGGCTTGAATTCACATTCCATTGGAGTTGGTGTTTTTTCTGATTTTACTGAAAGACTTGAAGAGCCATCAAGGTCTAGACCTCCCAACATAAATGTTAAATTAATGATGAATACAATCCAATATTTGTTGGAGTTGCTTCTAGAGAATTCTTCATTTGATTTAGGTTCAATGAGCAAGCATGAGTGTGATAAGCTCCTAAATATAATCTACAACCTTTACATTATTAGAAATAAGGCTGGTCAAATGAGTGTAAGGCCTGAATCAAGTGATGCATGCGCTTTATATGGTCAGACACAACCATCTGAAGACTTAACTCCGAAGCAACATGGTGCTAAAGCAGTTATACCTGATGATAAATCTTCCACCAACCATGGTGATTCTGATGTAGATTCACCTTGCTGGAAAGGAGCCCTGGCTTATAAATGTGCGCTAAGAGATTCAGTGCCTGTGAATTCAGAAGATTCTGAGGGTCAATCTCCATCAAGAGTTTCAGTGCCTCTGAAATCAGAACATTCTAAGAATGAAAAAGTGGCATGTAACAGTTTAAATCCTCTGGCGCCCGAGTTTATTCCTGGAAATTCTAAACAAAAAGTGGATTACCATCAGAAGGAATGTCATGGAGATAGTTCCTCATCTTTTCACAAGATTGCAGCTTTAGCTGTTACTTCTTCATCAGGGGAACACAAATTAATAGATTCTGTTAAAGCGGGTACATGCCCTTCAGAAGGGATCAATGATGTAGGAATCCAGTGTTCTAATGATGCCTGTGATTCAAGAAAGGATCGTGGTGTTCCCTACACGTCATTTAGAAATTCAGCAGTAAATTCTTCTTGCAGTTTTCAGCCATATCTCGGGGAAGAGTATGTTACATCTGAAAATCAGCTTGTGAGAGGCTCAAGGGTTGCTGGCTCCATGGAAGGTATTTTGGATGTAATACATAATGGGTCGGATAGTGTTGAGGAGATGGCACTTAGTGAGCCAATTCCTAGCATCTCTTTCCTTGCATCAGAAATTGGCTCAAATTCACGTTCCATTGGAGTTCATGTTTTTTCTGATTTTACTGAAAGACTTCAAGAACCATCAAGGTCTAGAGCTCCCAAAATAGATGTTAAATCAATGATTAATACAATCCAATATTTGTTGGAGTTGCTTCTACAAAATTCTTCATTTAATTTATGTTCACTGAATGAGCATGAGCATGATGAGCTCCAAAATATAATCAATAACTTTTATGTTATCGGAAATAAGGCTGGTCAAATGAGTGTAAGGCCTGAATCAAGTGATCCCTGCACTTTTAACGGTCAGATACAACCAGTTGAAGACTTAACTCTGGAGCAACATGGTGCTAAAGCAGGAATACCTGATGATAAATCTTCCACCAATCATGATGATTCTGATATAGATTCACCTTGCTGGAAAGGAGCCCTGGCTTATAAATGTCCACTCACAGATTCAGTGCCTGTGAATTCAGAAGATTCTAAGGGTCAATCTCCATCAAGAGTTTCAGTGCCTCCGAAATTAGAGCATTCTAAGAATGAAAAAGTGGCACCTAGCAGTTTAAATCCTCTGGCGCCCAAGTTTATTCCTGGAAATTCTAAACAAAAAGTGGATTATCATCAAAAGGAATGTCATGGAGATAGTTCCCCATCTTTTCAGAAGATTGCAGCTTTAGCTGTTACTTATTCATTAAGGGAACACAAATTAATAGATTCTGTTAAAGCAGGTACATGCCCTTCAGAAAAGATCAACGATATCGGAATGCAGTGTTCTAATGATGCCCGTGATTCAGGGAAGGAGTGTGCTGTTCCCTACAAGTCATTTACAAGTTCAGCAGTAAATTCTTCTTGCGGTTTTCAGCCATATCTCAGGGAAGAGTGTGTTACATCTGAAAATCTGCTTGTGAGAGGCACAAGTGTTGTTGGCTCCAAGGAAGGCATTTTGGATGCAACACAGAATGGGTTAGATGGTGTTGAGGACATAGCACATAATTGGCCAAATACTAGCTTCTCTTTCCTTGCATCAGAAATTGGCTTGAATTCACATTCCTTTGGAGTTGGTGTTTTTTCTGATTTTACCGAAAGACCTCAAGAGACATCTAGGTCTAGAGATCTCATAATAGATGTTAAATTAATGATTAATACAATCCAGTATTTGTTGGAGATGCTTCTACAGAATTCTTCATTTGATTTAGGTTCACTGAGTGAGCATGAGCATGATAAACTCCTAAATATAATCAATAACCTTTCTGTTATCAGAAATAAGGCTGGTCAAATGACTGTAAAGCCTGACTCAAGTAATCCATGCACTTTATATGGCCAGACAGAAGCAGCTGATCACCATGAGGTATGATACTTAATATCCTTTTTGCCATTTCTGGTTTTATTTGCTTAGTGGAGAATTTGCTTCTTGTTTTAGATATAATTCCTATTGGAAACCAATTTGGAAGGACAAAGGATTCATTATTCGTATTATAACTGTTATAATGTTCCATGATAATAATTCCAACCTTCATGCATTTGTTTGGTAGACTTACATTTCAATGGGTACATTTTGTATATCTGAGAATCAACTGTTCTTCCCTTGTACGCTGAGACTGAGAGCAGTTGTTGTTAGGAATAAAGCCCTAATCCTACTCTTAAAAAACGATAATAAAATAAATTTGAAAAAAATAGAACACAAGGAACACATGACATTTATGGTGGTTCACTCTCAACGTAAGTTACATCCATTTGCAGTTGCTGCAAATTTTTCACTATGATGAAGGATGATCACAAACTACTGCTGCCCCTCCATAGATACTTGTATAATTACAGCAACCAAATTACATCAGTGAAAATCCCAAAATACCATTACTAATAATATTACAGTTGAACTGCATAGTGGCAATCAACATTAGGGATAATTAGGCTCCACCCATCTTAATAGTTGACTTGGAATGTGCCTTTATTAATCTTTTATCTCACATAATTGTTCTCTAAGTATGTTTTGAGCTAGAATAATCTTGGAAAGAATGAGCTAATACCTCTTGCTGCCCCTCTATGACTTAATGGTTTGTGATTACAGCATAGGTTTAACATTCTTACACCAAAAGCTGTATTAGCTTCTGGAAAACCTTAATTAAATAATGGTTTTGTCAGCATCAAATATTAATTTTCAGGTGACAAAGGTGAAGGATAAAGCTGTTTTACATGATCAGGAAATGCACCAGTTGCCTGCTCCTATGTTAAGTAGTAGAATGCTGTATTCCTTTTATCAAAGCAATGATGATGAAGGCTTCAGGAGGGGCAATGACATCAGTCAGGTATTATTTGCTGCTATAGTGCTGATAATTTTGTTACTGAATTTGATGCTATTAATTGGAAAGGTGTTGAACCTTTATATTCTCGATACATGATTCAGGTTATTGAGAAGGATGCAAAAGTCATTCGTTCAATCAAGCATGAAATGCCACCAGAAGCCTTACATATAGGAGATTGTGGCTTGAGGCTAAAACAGCTTTATATCTAATGAAGTATCAAGCGCGTGCCTTGCACATGAAATCAGAGCTATACAGATGCTGATCAAAATAAAGTTTATTTACTTTAGCTCAATCCCGAAATATCTTCCCTTTCAAAATTACCTTTGTACTCTCACATTTTCACACTAGTGCATTATGATGGGAGGCTATGGCTAGTAGACATCTATTTGTAGGACTATCTTTATAACTAATTTTCATTATTTTGGCAGTTGTATAGAGCCCGTGATATAACATGTAGGGTCAATGAATCAAAGTATGTGTGGAAGGAGGATATTTTGTGCATGGTTAATAAATATAATTGAGAAACTGTGATACATTGAGAATGGGGTGAAGCCTTGGATGGAAGCTCCTGCCTTGGACCTGCAAGATTCAAGACCTGCAAGCTGCTGGATTTTGAGTTTAATGTTCGTTTAAAAGTCATTACCCTAACACACAAGGATAGAAAGCCTCAGCGTAACAGTTCAATCATTTATAAGCCACCAGATTTTGAGTGTCTGGTGATAATCTGCTGTAGAAAAGCATCGAGGAAATCACCCCAAGGTTCACCATTGCTGTGGATATACACTAAGCTTGTAGCTAAATACTGGAAGGTTTGTGATATACTTTTAAATATGGATATACACACTTAGTTTGTGGCAAAATCCTGTTTGTGATGTACTTTTAAATGTTAGTTTGCAAGTTAATACTCAGTTGGCTATTATTAGGAAAAAAAAAAAAAACCTGGCTCTGGCTTTGGTCCTGTGACTAGGCCCATTGCATGTCAGAACTTTTTGGTCGGCTTACCTGGTGGGTTTTGTACCATCTTATCCACAATGAACAACGCTGTTGTACCTGGTGGTCCTTGGTTCCTTGCTTGATCAACATTCACTTAAAGGGCTGGGGGCCCAGTTTTGCCTTCTATATGCGAATTCGCCTATTAAGCTTGTAGCTTGATGGTGGTGGCCTGGTGGGCAAAGTGGGCTACACCATAACTTGTCCAGGTTGAACGTGAGTAGAGTTTTATAACTTGTCAGACCCAGACATTTTATTTTAAATAAATAATTAGTTTCAGTTAATAATTTGAAAAAGATTTTAAGGCTTTTCAAACTTATGCTAATAGATAAATAGTTAAATAAATCAATTTGCATATAGTGATTTTGGCAAAAAAAAATTGCATTTGGTTAATATATTATTTATAATAATATTTTTGTATTAAATGTAATATATAGTTGCTAATTTTATTCATGATTCTTTAATGCATTGAGCAAAATATATTAGTTTTTATATTAGCAAAATCCTAAAACTATACAGTAATGTTGATTTATTTATCGTATCCAAAAGCAAAAAAAAGAAATACTCCTATGTAGTTCCAAAAATTAATGAAGGGAGTAGTTCCAAATATTAATGAAGGGAAGGGCATGATTTTGATTTTAAGTAGAAGAATCACTGAAAAGATGATAATACTTTTTTCGCTTCAAGTTTGGTCAGATAAGTAGACCTGATAATTTTATAAACGATATAGCAACACAATATGAAAATTACACGTAATAAATTATGTATGTTTTTATATAATAATGCTTCATATCTCAATTGTATTTATACATTCAAGACACAACGATGTGCGTGTAGTATTTTGTATCTTACGTGTGTTATAGGTTTAAGACATGATTAATTAATTAATTGTTCAATACAAATAAATGACACATTTATGACATGTGTAAGTGACATTTTTTCTCATAATTAATTATATTTATGTTTCTTTTCTCATAAAAAACATATTATTAAATTGTTAATTGTGTTTAGAATTTTAATATTTTTATTATGTTATCATTTTGGTTTAATGTTAAATTGTTGATTAGATATTTTAGTATTAATTATGTTTAATCTTGTTAATTGTGTCGTGAAGTGTTCAAATTACTCATTCCTAAAATGAATTGAAAAGTGTTAATCGTGTAATAGATAAAATAAATATATTGCATTTAGGTTATTCATGTCATTTAAGTATTTATTTTGTATTCGTGTTAAAGCTATTCATGTTGTAATTGAAATCATGTTTGACATGAAATATGACACGATGACAATAATTATTAAGTCTAGAAGAAAGCTCATTTACCTTTCATTTATGGCTAGCTTTGGCAATTTATTGTTTTTTTTTTTTGTGTAAAATACTAAAATTTGTGTATTTGTATTGTATTTTACAAAAAAATTATGTGTCACAATTTGTATTGAGACAGAAACATGAAATATATTTTTTTATTTTGTTAAACTCATATATATAGTTATTATTAAAATTTTAAACTATGTAACTTTCATTTCTTCTTTTTATATTGTGTGTATATTATGTCATTATATTATGTTTTAAGTTATCATATTTATTTAGACAATGGTTAGCACGTGTAAAACCTTTAAGCCAACTCATGCTAAAGTGTAGATTGTTAACTTTATCTAAATATAAATATAATAGAGAATCTAATTTTTTATCTTAATGAGAATGCAGGTGAATATTAAATTTTGGGGATGAAAATACAGATAAATATGATTTAAAATTTTTTTTTAGGTAAGGACATGAGGATGGATAGTACATCATATGTCCTTTGTTTATATCATATATATATATATAGTTATATATATTTAATAAATTAATTTTTATCTAATAATATAAAATTTATTTTAGATTAATTAAAACTAACATATTTGTATTTAAAAATATAAAATTTTAAAAAATTACATAAATATGTACAATAAAAAAACTAATTTTTTTATTTTTTATTTTTTTAAAAAAATTATGGATATGAAAATTATTCATATCCACGATGAAAACAAAAATAAATTTAAAATATCAGTTAAATATAAATATAAAAATAAATATAATATAAAAATAAAAAATAGAAAATAAAAAAACCGTACCTTTCCCGTACCTTACACATCGCCGTCTTCACTAAAGTGACTACTCATCCTAGTGGGGAACCCCTACTTGGCAATTGCCGTTGGCAACCTATTTACAATGGCAATAGAAAAGATTTTAATTTGTAAAATAAATCAAGGAAAATCGATACTGCCACAACCACCGATGTGGTTCAGCTCTAATTGCGCTCTTTCCCCCCCTCCCCCCCCTTGCTTCTCTAAATATATTTATAACTAACACCTACGTATGTGTAGCATTTCTTTACTATAAAAATCTTTAGAAATGCATAAATAAGTAAATAACATATATTCGAGTTTCTCTTTAGTACTCTTTACGGCTGTTATGGAGGTTGTGCTGCAGCTGCTGCACCCTAATGAGTTGTTAACGTCACCTCCCCTCTATATTTCACCATAATTACGGTTGTTTTATGGGATCGGCTGCCACCCTTTGCACTGTCATTGTTAATGCTCTGTCGTGATAAGGAATACTATTATTTAATATTAGTATTATGCAATGGAAGCAGTAGCTGTGTTGTTATCAGAATTCAGTACGGCAGTATCTATCCTATGGTCAGTACCCCCGCCCTTAAGACATCAGCTTTGTTTTGTTTTGTTTTTCTTTTTTCTTTTTTTCTCTTTTTCCTGATCTTCTCTTCTTCTTTTGTTGCAGCTTCTACTACTTTTCTTCTTTACACTTTCATTTTCATTTTAATTTCTTTCTGCATGATACAGCATTATCATAACGAAATCAATAAAAACTAGCCAGGGGCAGAGTTAATCAGAGCCGTCCATGGTTTGACATTTTCGATGCCTAACTCTGAGAAGAGGCAGATGCAATCTATTGTCCACATCCACTCTTTAAGATACATGGAATGTTGAGTGGTAGAATTGGGGAAAGGAAGGGAAGCGTGCCAATTCTCTTTTCTCTTTTAATTAATTCTTCTTTAGTTTTCGCCATGAAAAAAGTCTTCCAGAATAGAGCCAAAACAAGATGATAGATGGTGTAGGGTATAACGGGAATGTGATGCATTAAATCCAAAGGAAAATATCAGAACCAAAACGTGGTCCATGCAGTCTAGGGAGTGGGAGTAGTTTGCACGCGTACGTGCTCTGTTGGCAAAGTTTTGGGATTGAGAGAGAGAGGAAATAAAACAAGGAAAACTACTTTTCTTTTGTATTTCCAATTTTATTATCGTCATTGATTACGCCACTGAGCTTTAACCCTAAAATCTGAACCCTATCTTTCTATAGGGTGGGGACTCGGTGTCCCAGTTCAGATTTGCGCGTTAAGAATCTTGTTTGCTTAATTGCTCCATTGCTCCCTCTTCTTCATCACCAATTTTCTTGTTTGCTTTTGGTTGGTGTGGTTACTATTTGCTTGTCATTTATGTCCTTCCTTTTTGTTCATATATAAGATGGTGGGATCACCCAAACACAAATATTCTTATAGCTTAAGCATGAGCTGCATGACAAGCATTTCAATACTCACATTTACCCTTAGTTGGTCATGCTATCTAAAACAAGGTGATATTTACATCACTAGTTATTGGACTTTGCATATACGTGGAAACATCCTTGCCAAGCCAAATTCGTAACTAGTTAATCAAGGAGCAAGCATATATCTATTAACCATCATCACAAATATTTAAGGGTGTTTTAAATTTTGAAGTCCCCTTTATGATCATCCTATGACTGGCTGCAGCGTGCAGGAAAAAGGCAATTTAAGTGAGTGCAAAAAAGAAAAGTAGAAAATCTCCAAAACTCAGAAGGCCGGAGACTAGAGAGGGTGGAAAGGGTTAGAGGGGCTGTGAGGTCATTTCAAGCAAAAGCATGGGAGATGGAAACCTTGTCGGCAGAAAATACAGTTAAGGGGTGTTTGGTTCGGAGAAGTAATTTTTTCTTCGGAAATTTTATTTTTTGTTATTTGTTTTTTTTGATTTCGTTTAAGAGAATGTGATTGCTAGGATTTTTAAAAATTTTCAACAACGTTAATAAATGAGAAAGTAAAAGAATCAAAAACTTATTTCCCTAAAGTTTTTTAAAATTTTGAAGAGAAAGTGAAATTTTTTCTCTATATGTGCTTATTTAACTACATTTTCGGATTATATAAATAACGTTATTTATCTTTAAAATGTAGTAATTTTTTAATAAAATATTATAAAATAATTTTTTTAATATATTTTAAAAAATATTATGTTTTTAACACAATACTATTAAAATCTTTACAAAAGATATTATTAAAAACATGATTTTTATTGAAAAGATGAAAAATTATTTTTTATATCTCAACAAAAACAACATTTCTAAGAAAAAAAACATGAAAAAAAATTATTTTTCAGAATTCAACAAAAATGACATTTTAATATAAAAATACAATCTTTGTTAAAAAGATAATGTTTATAAAATAAAAAAATAATTTTTGTTGAAAACATAAAAAATATTTTTTAGAATTAAACAAAAACGACATTTCTAATATAAAATACGTGATTTTTTGTTAAAAAAAACACTTTTAAGATAAAAATGTAATTTTTGTTAAAAACATAAAAATTTTTTTTTTCAAAATTCATAAAAACGACATTTCTAAAGTAGAAAATATAGTTTTTGCTGAAAATATGATGGTCCTAAGATAAAAGTATAGTATTTGTTGAAAATATAAAAAAAAATCTTTTAAATTAAAAAGAGATAATGTTTCTAAGATAAAAATTTAGTTTTTATTGAAAATACAACTTTTTCAAAATAAAAACATAATTTTTTTGAAAATATGAAAAGGAATGAAACATAAAATATATTTATTTAATATTATTAGATATAAAATTTATAATATATTTATTTAATATTATTACACATAAAATTTATTCTAGATGCAAAGCCCTAAAAACTCTCGAGAGAGTTTTACCACCCCTTCCAATCCCCACGTTGATTTTACCACAAAAGTCCATTTGCGTAATATTTTTTTTTTGCATAATGCTAATTAATATTAAGTAGTAATTAAAATTATAAAATTATATTTATTGAAAATATAAAAATTATTTTTTAAAATTATTTAATTTCAATTAAGATAATATGTTAATCATATATTAATATTATGGATATCACGTGTTA